ACATAAACTAGTCGAGAGTGATATAGTATGCGCACATAACCGATCATAACTTCGACCAATAGGACAGTAACACAATTTTATTACGTAGAAATATCTTAGTACTAAATATAGCCCGTAGACAGACTTAGCTCTATAATTATAATTATATACTACTATACTTGGTGCACAAAAGAAAAAAATAACTAATATGCTAAATTGCTAACCATATATATATATATATATTGTATACACTTTTTCTTTAGAACATTGGCCATTCACATGTCACATGTGCATATGGTATACCCAGAAAGTACTGTATAGACCTCAACAATGATGAGGCCATCTTATCAATCTATTGGTTGTAGACTTGTACTTGTGGGTTTTCTTCCTACGCAAAGTATAACATCTAAAAAGATAGGAGAATTTGCTACAGGGATCTCTAATTTAAGTAGTGAACAATAAGGGCCTTTTATCCTCTTTTAAATAGCTCATAATTTATTTAAAAATCCAAAAAATTAAGGCAAATTATCAGGTTTAAGAGATTATACTTTCCAAAAAATTATCAACTTTTGATGTTAAAATATCACTTTCAGGTGCACTTTACATCGAAGAAAACAGTGTATATATAGAACCCAAAAAAAAGAGTGATCGTATTTTTTGGATAATTGGAAGGAAAAAATAATGATGATGATAATAAGTTGGATCTTTGAAATACTATTTTGTTCTCTACTAGCGTTAAAAATTACATGAACACAAAAGTTAAGCATATACAACATCAGAATATATACTTAATTTCGTCAATAATTTACATTTTCTCGTAAAAGTTCATTTATTAACTACTAGTATAAGTCATGGAGTATATGTCAATTAATTAAATAAGATTTGGGGTTCCCAAGTAATATGTTTCTGAAGCCGAGCCGACATAGAGATGAGGCCACCAACGCAAGTGCTGTGCTGGATCACGACCATCTCTTTTTCCAACGCGATCAATCTCCCCATAAAACCAAAATGTTTAATTATCATCTTGATTCTATGCTTCATCACTCTTATCTCTCTCTACATACATTTTGTAATTCACCGTTAGACATTAAAGGAGACAAACTTTTATCCTTGATTGCCGATCTTGTCCATTTATTTGATCCTTTCCATACTATACTATGTTTTGTCTAATGAACTTTCATTTGCCCAGAGATTTAAAGCTGTTCTTGGTATCAAAACTCAAACTAATCAAATCAACAACACATATTAACTATACAACATTTAACCTAAACACCTCATAAAGACTATATGTATCACACAATCTAGTTTGACATATAAAGATTAAATCTATGCATACTAATATATTTATCCCCCTTTTCGTGGACTACCCAGAGGGTTTTAGCCTTTGGCTATCCCTTTGGCCATGGACCAAAGCATGTCAACTAGTTTTTTTCCAATAGCAAAATCTAAACCCGTAACTTTAAGGCACGCTCCCTTCGTTACTGACACAACTTTTGCAATAAAATCGTTTATTTTAATACTAAAATCCATGGTGCGATTGCACCGTTGCTGTTGCTCTAATATATTTATCCCCCTTTTCGTGGACTACCCAGAGGGTTTTAGCCTTTGGCTATCCCTTTGGCCATGGACCAAAGCATGTCAACTAGTTTTTTTCCAATAGCAAAATCTAAACCCGTAACTTTGAGGCACGCTCCCTTCAGAAAATCACCTGATAAACCAACTTACACACGTTCGGTTTTAAACCCCGATCTTCTATATTTCAAAGGGATCAAATTTTTGAACAATCTACTACACTTTGTGACATTAAAGTTTTAGTAATACTTCATGCTGTTTATTTGGTTGTTGCATAAAACTTTAGTAATTGACTTTATTTTAGTAAATACATGCGTGCACTTCGAGTCCCAAGATAGCAAGTTTCTTTTTCCCTTCTTCAAACTTTCTCCTTGTTTCTTTTCTACCTACTATCTTCTCCGTACCCTTTTCTATCAATTATCATATGCTATTTTCCACTGTTTTGTCACATCGCACCTTATATATACCCACATGTCTTAATACACTCATACACACACCCACATATACATGCATATCTAGCTTTCACTGGTTTCTTAACACAACCCCATCATCTCTAGATATCTTGCCTTCTTCTTCTTCTTTTTTTCTCACTGTCTTCTCTCCTCAAAGTTAATGGCTGATCCAGCTTGTATCTTCAAAAATGGATATGTCGACTACTATGACTATAGCTTCAACTATGCCACTTCCCTCTCACGTATCTACAACTCTCATGACAGCTTCTATTATCCTCACCATACCACAAACCCAAACATCAACACAAACCCTAATTTTACTTCACCTGACTCTCCTCCACTTAGAGAAGCCCTCCCTCTGCTTAGCTTAAGCCCCATTCATAAGCATCAAGAACCTATTGCTCACCATCATGAGTACTATTTCATGGAGACGACAGAAACTTCTTCTAATTCAAACTTTATTGATCATGATCTTGGTCAAAGCCAAGAAACTCACCGTCATCTTGATGTAGCCGTGGATCTTCATCTAGGGTTACCAAACCTCGGTGATGGTGGAAGCAGCAGCAGCGATGTGGTCCTTGAATCCACCGACTTCCAAGAGCATCATCATGATCATCATCAAGATCAAGGAGTAGAAGTTACTATTGCTTCTGATCATGATGATGATCACGGTGGCTTACAAAGGGGTAATCATCTTCATCACTTTTGGATTCCTACACCTTCTCAGATTCTGATGGGTCCTACACAGTTCTCTTGTCCTCTATGCTTCAAGACCTTCAACAGATACAATAATATGCAAGTAAGGATATAATATTCATCCAATAAACCTAACTCTAATTAGTTGATACTTTCCCTAGAATGATTTTCAAGATTTGACTTTTTGATCTTGAAAATGGATCTTTATTCATTTACTTTTCTTATTTTTCTTCTAAATAATAACTCTCGATATATCTTCCATTTTCCAAATCTCCATCATGAGAAAATCCCTAGTACACACTACGACTTTTTCATAATAATTATTACTATTATAACTCGAGAATGACTTTTATTTGATGGTACAAGTCATCAGCTGTACCAGGGATTGATGGCTATGAAAAGATCAACTAAAATCAATCAATAGGTTTAGGATCAAGAAGATCTTCTTTAACCAACAGTCTTTTTTCATAGTGACTGTTTCTAACCCTAAAATATGATCAGTCCTCCTTTTCCATTTTTATTGCCTCTCTTGATTTTTGCGCAGTTATACTACATAACACTCATTACCCTAAAAAGTAAATGAAAAAGAGGATGATAAATGTCTTGCAGATTGTTTCGTACCTCTTTATATCTTCACATCATAACATAGATATATTTTATGATATTGTATTTTTATTAACCCTAAACAATCATACAGATTTTAAGTGCAAACCTTTTATCAAAAAAAAAAAATGCAATTATACAGCTTTAGATCTTTTTTTTTAATATCTAGAACTTTTCCATCAACTTGACATCATCATAACATTTACAAGGATCAATTGAAAAACGAAAACGGTGTGACAGTTGCATGTTTCAAGATTAGTTTAGATTGTAATCTGAAATCTCTTTTTGATCAAAATCAAAAGAAATGGTTTAAGTTACGCGCATATATAGCAGGACATGATTAACGTACACATGTTCTAATATTATGATGAAATTTTATTAGATGCACATGTGGGGACATGGTTCACAATACAGAAAAGGACCGGAGTCGCTAAGAGGGACACAACCAACGGCGATGCTGAAGCTGCCTTGCTACTGCTGTGCACCGGGCTGCAAGAACAACATAGACCACCCGAGGGCAAGGCCGCTCAAGGACTTCCGTACGCTTCAGACACATTACAAGCGGAAGCACGGTGTGAGACCCTTTGCTTGTCGTAGGTGTGGGAAGGCTTTTGCGGTCAAAGGAGATTGGAGGACCCACGAGAAGAACTGTGGGAAGCTATGGTATTGCTCATGTGGGTCGGATTTCAAGCACAAGAGGTCACTTAAGGACCACGTCAAGGCCTTTGGGAATGGTCATGTCCCTTGTTGTGGAATTGATCATGAGGAAGAGGAGGCTGCTTCTGATGTCGAGCAGCAAGAATGATCGTGTTTGGTGTAGTTGTTGTTGATGTTGTTTTGAGCATTAATTGCATGCTTTATGCTTGTGTATCTTCTTCTTCTTTGCTTTTTTTGGGGATTAGTATTAATTATTAATGGGAATAGCAGAAGCTTTAATGTACTGTATTGGCTATTGAGGTCTTTGTTAAAAAATTTAGAACTAAATTACTATATTTGATTTGTATGATATCAATTTTTATTCTGAGTTCTATTCCTACACGTCGACAGAAGGGACACATTTCCATTAGTATACACTAGAATTTAGAGTATGAGTACATTAGAATAGAGAAGTTTGGGAAAATTTACCAAAACATTTTAGTATCTTGAAGTATAATCAGGTTTATCAAAAATTTTGGAAAGCAGCCTTTTTAGTAGTAGAAATTACGTAGAAATCTTAAGAAAAGCATAAAGAAGAGAAAAGAGTCTCAGTTTTACAAGATCTCATGATCAAGCTCGCAGACAGATTCTTAAATACACCTACTACTTAACGATATGCATTTACAACCAATTGATAACTAGCAAGTAATAGCATGAGCTACCAAACGTGATTGCTGATTAGAATAAAAGTAAATTAACTTAAAAAAAAAATACAATGTCAAGAATCTTAACACCTAGTTTGGAAGTAACTCCATTTCATTATGTATTTATATTTACCAGAATTCAAATAGATTTATAATAAGTATCTGTATCAGAAAAGCTAATGGACCTTTTTTAAAAAAGCTAATGGACTTGAATTTACCAAATGAAAGTTTTAATCCTTCTTCATATTTTCAGCTAAAAATTGATGAAGTTTTGGTAATTTATGCAAATTAAAAAATGGGTTAACCCGGTTGTAGATGGTGGTCTGGGTTAAACCGACCCGAGAAAAATTCGGGTCAACACAAAGCAGGGGACAGAGAGACGCCGCGATAGAAGAAGAAGATAGTAGGTAGAAGAAAACGAGAGGCAAGGGTCAGGCATAATATGCTCTCTCACTAGGCTAAGAATTTGAAGCCATGGATTAGGGTTTTTCAGTTTCTTTCTTTCATCGATTAACCCAGAATACAACTATCTCTTCCTTGGTGTTTAGAGATTCTCTTCGTCTCCGCCTATATATCATTTCTCAAATCGTCGACTTAGGAATTTACCAGGAATCATTTCGTTTGTGATTTTATCAAGCCTAGCTTCAATTCCTGTTAATCGATGGATTCTCAGATGCTCGTGGCGCTTGGACTATCCCTTGTTGGGGGATTAAGTACTTCTTTAGGTTGGTCAATGTTAGCTTTTTTTTTTTTTTTGTGAAAATTCCCAGGAATTGTGTATTTTGCAGGATTTTTAGATAAGTGTATGAACTTAGAATCATGATTCATTGTTTTTCGATTGTTTTAAAATGATGATTGATGGTTCTTTTGATCATCAACAACACACTGCCTTTGTTTTACTATTTTTGGTGAACTGTTTTCTTTCAAGAAATTGCCAAAAGCTACGAACACAATGCTTGAGTGTTCAACACATTGCTAGTTCCGAGATATGAAGCTTTGGTGTCTTAACTGTGAACATAAGGAATTGTGGATCCTTATATGTGAATATCAAGTTTATTATTTCTTCAATTTGATTAAGTTTCATGTTTCTTTCGTAGGTGCGCTTTTCGTAGTTCTTAGTGAGACTCCCAATATGAAGATGCTTGGTCTTCTACAGGTGATGCTACATCTTATTTTCTATCATAAAGTCCCAAATTGTATTCCCTATCCCAAATTGTATAGCATGGTTCCTTTGATTTTATAGAACCATTGGTGAAGTTTCATGAACTGCATCATTGCTATATTCTCTTGTCGTTTAGTTTTATAGGGTGCTAGTGACTAGAATTTGTGTTCCTGTACCAACATTCTTTTGTACAAAACTTTTCACTTGGGACAATTTGGTCCATGTTGTAGGTTGTTTATCTGATATTTTCAAGTCCCTTCTACAGGGTTTTGCGGCAGGTCTGATGTTGAGCATATCGTTCCTGGATTTGGCTCATAATGCTATTAACTCTATTGGGTTCTTAAAAGCCAATCTCTGGGTTAGTACTTCTGTTCATCTTGTACTTCAGTGGTTTTGTTATTCAAATAATATATTTATTTATTTCACACTGAAAGTAATATAGTTTTCTAGTGATGCAGTTTTTCGGTGGTGTGATATTCTTTGCGTGTATTGCCAAATTCATACCCGAACCAACAGTTGGTCCTTCTACTGACGTGAAAAGAAGAAAGGCAAGAGTGTTTTTTTTTTTTTTTTACGAATTGTTCTTCGAAGGCTTTCTGGTTCTATAGTATCATGAAACTTTGGCATATTTGTTGATAACAGAAAAATGGAGACGAGGGAGGTAAAGACATGATGAAAAAGCATCGCAAGCAAGTCTTATATAGTGGACTTATTACAGCTATAGGTATACTAACTTTCAGTACCATCTCTTTAAATTATTAATCATTTGTTGTCCGAGATTTGGGTGCATTTTTTAATCTGTGATTTGTAGGCTAGATGTTTCGACAATAACTCCTCAAAACCATTGCATCAATGTACTTGAACTTTATTCGTATGCACAAACACTAGTGTTGAGTTGCAACTGTAAACTCTTCATATTTAGCTAACTAGTCAATATATTACACAACAATAAGATTATATGTGTGAAAGACCTAATGATATGTGTGTTTGTTCAACTGGGAAGTATCATGTTTCTTGGACTTATATAAAATTTTTAATGTTATAGCTTAAATACAAAATAAATGTTTATCTAAACTCTTCATGTATTTCTTATCTTTTTCGTTTTGAACTATAGGCATAAGCTTGCACAATTTTCCAGAAGGGATGGCTGTATTTCTCGGATCAATTAAGGTGAGAATTAAGAAACATGAAAACAGAAAATTTCAAGGAGCATGCATGCATTCTAACAAATTATCTCTATACTATTTCATAACCTGTGTCATCTACGTATTAATATCAATCTTTGCTTGTTGGATTTTACTTCACAGGGCATGCGAGTTGGTGTTAATCTGGCTTTGGCCATCGCTTTACACAACATTCCTGAGGTAGAAATTCTGTAACCATTATAAAAGAAACCTAGAAAGAATAACATGTTTCTTTTTTCTTGCTGTGTTTCCTGTTTGACCGTCTATTTTCCACTACAAACTAATCTTAAAGACGAGTAAACATCTAGATTGTTCATATTTCTGATTTGACATGCTTCTCTTGCTGCTCCGGTTTTATATTTCAGGGTGTTGCAGTTGCACTTCCTATTTATTTTGCAACAGAAAGGTAAGAACATGATTGCGTATGGATTTACATATATTTCTCTGTCCACGTTGTATATTAGGATAGGATGTATGCAGTTTATTATACCCCGTGGTTGTATTCATCCCAAATCAACTTTATGCATGTAACAGCAAATGGCAGGCATTTAAGTTGGCAACACTCTCTGGTTTAGCTGAGCCTCTAGGTGTAATTATCGTGGGTAAGTTGCATCGGTTTCGTAGCTCAAGTTGCTTCTTCTGTACAAGTTCTTGTTCTCTTAAGAGTTTTAAAAGAGTATTACTAATCCTACTTTGATCCATCTTCTTTACCATGCAGCCTATCTTTTCCCAAGAAGCTTAAGTCCAGAAATCCTTGAAGGTTTGTTGGGAGCAGGTAAGTAGGAGTTCTGCAGCAAATCGATACTTTAAACTAAAATCATTAGATGGAAAAAGAATCAATGCAAAACTGTTGTTTCTATGATGCAGTGGGTGGAATCATGGCTTTCCTAACGTTGCACGAAATGCTTCCTTTGGCATTTGATTATGCGGGACAGAAACAAGCTGTGAAGGCTGTGTTTTTTGGCATGGCATGTATGTCTGCGAGGTAAAAAAGCAAACCTGAGAACCCATATTTCCAAAAACTTAACATTGGATACTCATACATCTGCTTGCTGTAACAAATAATCAGAGGCCTTTTATTAGAGCTTGCATCATAAGTTCCTCATAACAAAGATTCAACCTAGTAGTTAGAAACTTGTTTCTCTTAACCATTTTCCGTCGATAGTAGAGGGAGGGATCTGTGGTGTTGAAATGCGTGTGATGTATCTGATCTGTAGTTTATGCTTATGATGTGTTTTGTCTGTTTCTTTTTATTTTGCAGTCTTTACTTTCTGGAGCTGAGTTTACCTGATACAATGAGCTTGTAAGGTTAGTGATGTCATGTGCAATAATTGCCTCCCCAAAGAGATAAAACAGTCTCTGGAGTGAAGTAGTCTCTTTGTATCTGTAAAGACTGAAATCTGTAAACAATGACTAATTCATTTTTAATTCAAATGAATAAACATATTTTCTTACAGCAGTTAGCTAGAGTTTTCACAGAATTTATAGCAAATCTCACTCTACATCTATAATCTTTTCAAATTATAATACTGGCAATACTACACAAAAGTAATTCTATTTTTCACATCATAATTTAGTCTTTTTCTGTTAAAAGATCATGTGATCGATCATCTGTGGACCAAAATTCCTTTTGCCAAAAAATAGATTCTTTCGATTTTATTCTGAGACCAATTCAAACTTTCTCAACAAAATTACAGCTCTAGTTCATTCCTAAATTTAGCAACAAAAAATTAGAAAATTCTTTGAATTCTCCTGTCTTGCATATCAATGGCAGACCTTGAAACTCTCTCCACATTTTATTATAGTATATATTCCTTCACCACCTTCACCTTCAAATGCATCACATAAAAAATACAAACAACAACAAAAAAAAAAACACACAAGAAATAATGGAGATGAAGAACGTCACCAACATCTTTGTGGCCCTCTTTATCTCGGCCGTGTTAATGAGCTCAGTCTCTGCAGCTACAATGGAGTCTCCAGCACCATCACCAGGTGCTTCCTCTGCCACTGTAGCTTTTCCAGTGGTTGGTTCCATCGTTGCTGCATCACTCTCTGCCTTCTTGGCTCTTCTCTTGCAGTAAAAATTGACAAGAGAGTCCTCAATAGATGAGAAGGAGATATATAACAAAACTCTTTTTTGTTCTGATTTTGTTCCTTAGAATCTATGACAAATAACCTATTTTGATGTATAATCTCATTGTGTAAGTTATTACACTTAATATTTATGAGTATATGATATAATAACACTATTTTATCAGATTTAATGAATCTGATCAAAAACTTCATTGCTTTTCGATTAATTCCTTAATACACGAAGTGGTTACATGAAAATTTGTGGTTAATGTTTCTTTTAAAGATTGGTTTCATCATCGTTTTGCTTTCTCTTTACATTCATGAGACTCTTTGTAAGCCAAATAGCGGTTTCTCTTGATGAAACTGTTTCATCTCCAAAAGGTTTCAAGACTCCTTCAAGCTCATCAAACTTCTCTTGCCTAAGTAAACCTGCACAAAGCTCCAACAATGATTCCAATGCTTCTGCCCTCTCCTCGCTTTTCGGGCTTTTCTTCTGAAACTCGCGTAGCAGCGTTAATGTGCTAATCAATGACATCTCTTGGCTCTTTGCTGGTCTCTCCTTGTCTTTTGAACCAGAGCTAGTATTCTTGTTTCTCTTCTCTGTTTCCTCTGCTTCTTGATTATGTTTAATGGGTGTTTTTACGGATTTGGTCTTCGGCGGGAGACCTATTCTGTTTTCGTAGGTGTTGTGTTCTGATTTGGAGACAACTGGTTTGAAAACCGGAGACAGGTTTTGGCATTGTGCAAGATATGGCTGTAAGTGAGGATGTCTTAGCAATTCTGCAGCCTATAAAGAAACAATATCCATTCAAGAAAGTTAGAAGAAACCGTGGAAGTAAAGTCGAAAAAGAAGAATAAACTAATGGAATTCATCAACTCACAGTTGGTCTATGTTCAGGGTTCTTGCGCAACATACTTTTGATCAGTCTTTTTCTGCAAAACATATTAGAAATTCATAACATTAATACTCAAAATCATGTTTCAGCTCTAAAATAAATGTATATGTATACTTACAATGAAGAGGAATACATAACCGGGAGAGGAGAGAGCGAAGAGCGGTTAATCTTGTTGATGAGTCCTGCCATGTCCTGTTTGCAAACAAGAGAATTTCAGTAGCTCGAAAATAATGTCGGGTTTAACACGTCGAAAATGGAAAGAACTCTTTACAGGAGCCTTGAAGGCCGGTTGATGTGCAGCTACTTCAAACATACAGCAACCTGTAAAGCCAAAATCTTTATGATAAACCAAGAACAATATAATTAAAGAAACCAGAAGTTTAGGGGATTGTGTGTTATACCTAAAGACCAAATATCAGATTTGTAGCCGTAAGGTATATCTGCAAGAAGTTCAGGGCACATGTAGTTTGGTGTTCCCACCATCTACAAAAAACAAGAACATGTTTCAGAAATACTTCGGCGAAAAGCTGTAAATTCCAATGGAATATGAGCATTACCGAGGAAGCAAGATCGTCTTTGCCTAAAAGTTTTGCTAGGCCAAAGTCACCTGTAAAAGAGCCAATCTTAAGACAATGGTTCTAAAACAGCTTTTTAAGAGGGAACAAAGAGAGGATTCTGCATCTGATGTCAGTCTTTACCTAACCGAACCTCGTTTTCTTTAGTGAGGAATATGTTGGAGCACTGGAAAATTTGATTTGTAGTGTTAATGGATGATCTGTTCCATTGAAGCAAATGAAGCATAGAGAGTAATAGAAGTTTAAGTTACCTTAAGGTCCCGGTGAAGAACTCGATTGTTATGGAGGTAATCTATAGCCAGCAGTAGCTGCACCATCCATCTACAGAGTTTCTACAGAGAAGAACAAAGATCATTCTTGGTTAGATTCATTATCAATCCATCATTTGTTTAGACCAAAAAGATTTCTTAATGATTGCTAACTTCTTCGGACGCGAATATTCCTCTTGATTTCTTTATCATTTGAGTCCTGCATATACCAAAATCACTTAGGAAAACCACCACCAAAGAATAACAAAGAAACATAAAACTGGAATATGAAATGATTTGCCTTACATGTCTCCACCCTCACAATAACTAGTTACAATGCATACACAATCCTGCATAAACCAACAGAAAAATCCCAAGATAGTTTAGAATTTTCTGCGAAATTTCCGCTTGATAACGAGCTTTGAACAAGAAGAAGATATAACCTTTTCAACCCATGAATCTTTATACTCCACAATATAAGGACTCTTAAGCTTTGATATCAAACTCATCTACATTATAACAAAAATAAGAAACACATTTTGAATTTCAAGAATCATCATTGAATATAATCAAGATCACAAGTAAAAAAAGCTTGTTAATATTTTAACCTCTTGGATTGCAGCAAGCTTGCATCTCTCTGTTTGTTTAGCCAAACGAATCTTCTTAACCACATACCTACAATGAATTTTGATCTTAAACAAGATCAGAACAACAAATATAGATAAACTCAAGAATTGAGATCTTTTTATCTTCTTTAACTCACTTTCGTCTCTCAGACTTGTGAATAACAAGAAAAGCAGAACCAAAAGCGCCTCGTCCGATCTGTTCCACGACTTCATAATCATCCATCTTGGAAGCAGTTTCACTTATCTTGTTTGCCATCTATCTGAGATCTTCCTCTGTCGGTTTAAAAGGATACAAGTTATTACTGTTCAATGGAGCCTGTACTGTAAGTTTCATAGGATTCATATAAAACCCATGAGCATTAATGAGAATCAAGAATTAAAGAATCAGGCAAGAAAAAAAAGAAAGAATAAAAATGGGACCCTGAAACCAAATTTTGATTTTGAAATATCGTGAAGAAGAAAGTTTCGTAATTTCTTCTTTTTTTTCTTCTTTTGAACAAGATGAGGAGGGAAGATTTGAAGATGAAGCAAAGAAAGGTACAGAGAAAGTGAGAGAAATCATATTCTTTTCTCTGGTCAGAGAGGGAAAGTTATTTAAATGAATTAAAAAAAAAAAAGAGAATGGAAGAAGATTCAATTGACAGATAAGAGCACCAAAGCAATTTTGCTTGAGGTTTCAGACTGTTGTTGTTGACATGTTTGTTGTTATTATTACATTTAGTGCTTTTTTTTATGCTTGTTGACATGTCTCTTTCTCACTTTTATACTTTTTAACAAAAAAAAACATTCTCTGAGTTTTGATTGATGTTTTGTTTTATTATCTTTGGATCGTTAAAATTAATTCTTCTGAGAGTATTTATTTGACCAAATGTGAAGTTCATGACTTTTATTGTTTTACCAACCAAAGAAAATCTCCACTTAAATCTTTTGGTTGGACCATATCTTAACTCTTTTGGTTAGAAGTTAGAACAACCAAATAATAAAAATTAGGGCTGGGCACAAGTATTCGTTACTCGTCTCGTACCCGTTACTTGTCTCGTACTCGCCTTGAAAAAACAAGTACCCGTTGTTGTCAAAGCAAGTATCAAGTAGTATAGTTTAGATACTTGCAAGTACAAGCCAAGCAACAAGTAGTGGAAAAAAAATTAATATTCGGCTTGTTTGACCCGTTACTCGTTATTATTTTATTTCATATTATATTAGTTTTAAGAACATATTTAAAAGTTACATCAAAAATAAAGTAAAATTTAAATATGTAAAAATTTTGAAAGTGTTACTTGCAAATTACTTGCAAGTAATTCGTAAATACTTGCAAGTAACTCGCAAATAGCAAGTAATAAGGCAAGGCAAGTAACTCGCAAGTCGCTCATTTTTTAGCAAGTACTCGAAATTACAAGTACTCGTTTTTAACAAACCAAACACAAATACTAATTTTTATTACTCGTACAAGGCAAACCAAGTAATAAGTATCCCTAAAAGAGCAAGTACTCGCCTTGTGCCCACCCCTAATAAAAATATTCTATAGACAGTCACATATTGAAATCACTCAAAAACATCAATTACCATTGGCACAATTAAAGGATTTTCTCTGCAGTAACAAAGTATAGAATTGGACACCACAATATTGTTGAGATAGAAGCTTTAATTTTTTCTTTAATAAGAGGATACCAGATGACATTTTTATGGGTGTTTGAAATTTGTCTTATTCAGTTTTTGTCAATCATCTCTGCTTGCACAATTGGGTTTGCTTTGGCTATGGCTTCCTCTGCAGTGGCATTGTAATTGTCTGCATAGCGGTGTGATCCACATAAAAGATTACCACACTGTCCAAACCAACCTGCTTATTGCAAGTAATGCATCTCTTGGTTTTTTTTTAATTTGTCTTAACTTCTTCTATAATTTACAAGATCATTAAGGGCATGTTCGTTTGATCATCTGACATTTCTATCCAGATGGTCTATCTAAATGTTCCATCCAAATGCTTCATATGAATATTGTTCGTTTCAATTTTTGAATGTTCATTTGGAAGGAGCATTTAAATGAACTTTTGTTTGTTTGTTTAATTTTTATAAATATTCATTCCCATCTAGATGACTTTAACAAGAAAATGACTAAAATACTCATACTTTTAATCTAATTATATTTTAATTTTAATCTTAACTATATTAATTTAATTATTGCTCTAAAATATATTTACAAATAAATAATTTCAAACTATGATTTTACCATATAAAAATTAATTTTACGGTTTTTGCGGGAAAATTAGATTTTACGGTTTTATTAGAAAACACAATTCTTCAATTTTTTGGTTTTGGCGGGAAAACAAAATTCCGTAATTTTCCCGCCAAAATCGTGATTTTTAGTTTTGGCGAGAAAATATGATTTTACGGCTTTGGTGGAAAACACAATTCTTCAATTTTTCGGTTTTGGCTGGAAAACAGAATTCCGTAATTTTCCCGCCAAAATTGTGATTTTTAGTTTTGGCGGGAAAATATAATTTTATGGCTTTGGTGCAAAACACAATTCTTCAAAAAATTTCGGTTTTGGCGGGAAAACAGAATTCCGTAATTTTCCCGCCAAAATCGTGATTTTATAGTTTTGGCGGGAAAATATGATTTTACGGCTTTGGTGGAAAACACAATTCTTCAATTTTTTCGGTTTTGGCGGAAAAACAAATTCCGTTATTTTCCCACCAAAATCGTGATTTTATAGTTTTGGCGAAAAATATGATTTTGTGACTAATCTTACTTCTTTTGGGGAGTTCAAACCTAAAAAATTAATCTTACTTCTTTTGGGGAGTTCAAACCTAAAAAATTTGGACTATTTCTTGATTTATGTTTGAACTCCCTATATATGGGCCATGGGTTATGCAAATTTGACTGCAAAGGCTAATATTGGCTTTTAGGCCTAAAAGGTTCTCTCTCATTGATAATTTTGCGACGTTAGTATTCCTAAGAGCAGGATTATAGGAGGTATCTTAGACATATCTTAGGGGAAAAAATTATTAAATTTAATGAATAGTTCAATCAAATGCTAAGATGTATATCTTATTTAAGATGTTGTTGATGAGTTTTAGATATGAGCACGTGTCTTGCTCTGATTAATTTGAAGAAACAACAAAGCCAAAAAAAAAAACCTTTCGTTTTTTTATTTCCCTCTCGACCTTTCTCTCTCTCTCTCTTTTCCTCGAAACCAAAACGGCGAAATCCTGCTCTGAGGCTGTTGATCCGACGAATTGAGAGGAGAAATGAGATGGAATTGCGTGTTTCATATAAATTGTATTTCATGTATGTTTTAATTTTTTTTTAATTTGCAACAATTATTAAACTTTCTATAATTATAAATTTTATTTTTGTATTAATTTTTTTTCTTCTAAGAACCACATGTTAAGAACCTACCATTAATCACACATAAATCTTAACCCAAAAATAATATATCTTAACTATCACTTTTACAAATATATTACTTAAATATTCTTAAAATTTATTTCTAAGATACCACCAATAATCATGCTCTAATCAATACCGTTTTGTGCTAAGAGTCGGCTATGACGTGTGCGTATATGAATGCCCAGAAATTCGTTTTATAATTTTTCTACGCAAAGTCGTTCAATCCCGGTTTCGTTCTTTTTAATTTTATTTATAAAAAAAAATGCTTGCAGTTTTGAATTGTTTTACGGAACTGAAAAAAAAATTGGAATTCCTTAGAAGATTAACGAAGACATGCATAATTATGTTTAGTCGAGAAGATTTGAAATGATCACAAACTGAAAAGAATCAATACAAAATAACAAAATGTTAAACCAACCATTAGTGCATGGATCAAACTTCACTCACATTACAAAATATCAGGAAAAAGAAAATGATTGAATATATAGATGAAACCTCGGGGAAATTAAGGGACATCAAAGACATCACATAATTAATGCATGAATGTCTTTGACGCTTTACAACAACCACCACCATGGTTTGGCGGGAGGAGGTGGATACACTTTTCCATATCTAGAAGGTGGTGGTGGTGGAGATTTCCTGTAATAGTAGGCTTGATAAGCTTGAGGAGGCGGAAAAACAACCGGAGGAGGATAGATTGGAGTAGGAGGAAGAGGGACATCAACGGGAGGAGAAAGATCAGCCGGAGGAGAATAGACGGGAGTAGGAGGAGGAGGAAGATCAGCCGGAGGAGAATATACCGGAGAAGGAATAGGAGAATGTTGTTGTTGGTAGTTAGTGTAAGTTTGGAGAAGCTTACGGTTGTTACTGGCTTCACCAAGTGTGATAATTAGGGTTGCTAAGAGAAAAACTAAGGTGACGGAAAGGCCTTGGGACACCATTTTTAATGGTTGTGTCGTTCTTTGTACTCAATGATAATGTTAAAATCCTAGACATAACTATGTTTATATATATGTAATTAATCCATTGGTAGCTCTCTTGATTAGAGAGTTGATTCCCACTAACCTTTGATATTTTTTCTATTGTAATTCTTAAGTATATGTTGAGCGGCCTTTGCTGTTTTGTTTGCATTTTAAATGCCTCTTGTTTTCCTAATTGGCGCGTCCCTCTAAATAGTAAGTTTTCTTAAGTAGTGTTATTAAAATACCAAGAGAGTTTTGATCTTTTGGATTTTATACAAATAGTTCGATAATGACGTTAACACAAATTATTAGTCTTATATTATATGACATATATGTTGATTGGGTTGATGCTTTCTAAGCAGATTTAACAAACTATTTTACTAATCCTTGACTTTTTTTGTCGGCTACCATTATAGAAGTCGATGATAAAATAAGAACTAGAATTATCTTTATAAACGAATTACAAGTTTGGAAATTAGTCACAAGGGTTAGCTTTAAACAAAATTTGGGTACACCTAAACTTAATTGAGTACCCATAAAACCCTAACCCTCAAGAACCAATTAACCAGTCTGAGAATACCTTCGCCGTAAATATAAAAAGAACACCTTGCGTCACCTAAATTCTTCTACCAAAAGTCCCTTCTAAATTGATCCTATTACTTCCAAGACAAGAAACAAAAAAAATTGAGAGTAGTGATTAAGATAGTTACTATTCAGACCCTTTCCTGGTGCTGCAAGAAAGATCGAGATCCATGTTACTCATTCCACATAGTGAAAACACCACCAGGATTTGACCCCTGAACAGACTCACCGGTCCAACCACTATACCCTCCGGTTCCATCACTGGAAGGCATATCGTAATCTGTTTTAACGGTTGGAAACTCCTCAGCAGATCCAACAGTCGAGCTCGACCCAATACCAATACCGTGGTTCCCAAGAAACGCTGCAGTGTTGTAGCTCCCACTAGAACCTCCATTGTTATTATTGTTGTCAACGATAGAGGTAGAGACAAGGCCATGGAGAAGAGCCGGATTGCTATGAAGATACGCGTTGTAGAGCTGCTGCGAGTTCTGGCTCGATTGTTGCTGCAAGTAATTGTTGGTCTGTTGGTGGAGATGAAGCTGTGTCTGGATATAGCTATGGTGATTAAAAGAGGAGGAATCATGAGCATTGTTGTTGCTGTAATGAGAGATGTCATTGTTCTGAAGAGATAGAAAAGGCTCTAAAGGTTGCTGAATGCTTAGAGGGTATGGTTGAAGCTGAAGCCTTGATGAGCTGGAGCCAGAGCCTGTGCTCGAGCCAACCCCGTACTGGAAACTTGAACCAAGGGCTATCATCTCCGCCTCACGTTTCCTTGAAGACTCCAGAGCTTGAGCTTCTTTGAGCCGTTTAGCTGCGCCTCCTCCTATGGGAAGAGTGCTGCTCTCTAGGATGGCTTTGACGTCATACCTATTGATTTCAAAGTTGGTCACTGCATTAAGTCCTCTGAACTTTATTGCAGCTATATCGTAAGCTTCTGCTGCTTCTTCCTCAGTGCCTGAACAAGATAAACCATATTGATTACGTAAGTTATGTTTTAATTTTGGTATGTATATGAATAAGGTTATTTTATTTTTCTCTACTAAAGTAACTTCACTTTGATTTAAAATTTGTACTGAGCCTTTAAATCGTTAGAATCAATTCTTATGGTTTGCGTACCAAATGCTGTCAAGATCTAATAACTAAGTACTTACTAAAAGTTCCCAAGTAGAGGTCTTTGTTTCCGGCGACTCGGCCGATTCTTGCTTGCCATCTTCCATGTTGGTGATGCCTATACATATAACAAGTAAGGAAACAAAAAAAAAAATTCAACAACTAAAGATGCTTCTTATAAGACTAAGTATGGGAATATTTACGTATTTACAAACCTTGTAACTCCTCGATACATCGAAGCGCCTCTGGAAAAGCCACTACTTTTCCTGTGATTTGACGAATATATAAGTTGTTGTTAGATTAGATAAGTTTCAATTTTATATGAAAACCTCATGGGAAAACACAAAACAGAACCTTCTAATGGCAGCCACGAACTCTTGTCTCGTCATGTGCTTCATTTCCTCTACTTCTTTCTCGTAGTTTGTAATCTGATATGTAGTAATGAATCAAAGATTTGAAGCATACAAAACTAGTATCAAGAAATTATTGCAAGAAAATATGATTTAACATACGGGGAAATTAGTAGTAGTCGAAGGACCCCAGTACTTAAGTGCAGCTAGATCATATGATCTTGCGGCTTTATCTTCTTTGTCATATCCACCTATATACCAAGAATTTGATTTAATTAAGTCTCCTTTAATGAAAGAATATAATTAATCCACGAAGATGGTTAAGAAAAAAAATACAATTCGATGTACTCACCCAAGTAAACTAGAGATTGTTTATTGAGTCCCCAAGATTTACGCATCAAGAACAAAGAATGGAGCCAAAACATAGTTAGTATGAACCAAATGAAACTTAAAAGACAAATTTTCTTTCAAAAAAAAAATAAAAATAAAAAAGACAAAACCTAGTTAAGTGGAAGTAAATTACTTACCTTGTCTTCCTTTCCTAGACTGGCCTTCCCTTCTACAACTATTATCCCATAGATGAGCCTCATAGCGACCCGTCCATCGATGTCTATGTGCACATTCCATCATTACACTCAAATAAAGATCACAAAATAATTAAAGAAGATCAAATAAAAGAGTGATGAGTCACATATTAACCTTGTGACACCACGATAGATCGAGGTTCGCTGCCCGAAAGTGTCCAATGCACGTCTCGGCGTGGCCGTCTCAGCAACGGCTAGTACTCCACCGCTAGTGTTATCCCCGGTGGTCTCGGACGGTGAAGCTTTGTCTACAGCGTTGTTACCAGCGGTGGTCCCCATGGACAAAGTGAGTGACTGTAGATTGTGAGCACTCTCTTGAAGCTCATGATAGCTACTGTTGTTAGGAGTGTTGGAGTCACAAGCTGCTACAACGACATCGTTTGATTGGACGGTAGGCATCAAGCTATTGGTATGGAAGTAGTAATCTGAGTCGTTGTAAGCTACTAGGTGGTTGGATTGGTTTTCGTCCGGTTTGCTCACACCAAGAAAATCGGCCACTTTTGGAACCTCTCCTCCTTCACCTCCTCCTCCACCGTGTGGATTGATCATATTCCACTCTACAAAATAACAAATTGTTATCTTTAATTAGTATATTATACACAAAAAGAGAAATCATATATGTATAGATATATCTAAATATATTACCTTGTGTTTGAAAAGGGTTGTCCATATGGTCGCTGACCAAGCCAAGGTTGTATTCATGAGGAGGCAAAGAAGAGTTGTTTGGTGAAAGAGGAAAGCCAAGCCAGTTGTTAGAATTCATTTTCTTCTTTTTGAGTCAAATCTGTCTGTATTGTGGTTGGGCTAATCAATCAATCACTACCACTTTGATATGATCGATATACCAAGCTCTAAGCCAATCAGAGAAGAAAGGAAGATTCAACTATCAAGGATTGGGCCGGGAAAGATAATTTAATGATCAAGACTGCTTTCAAAGATTGGAGAATATGTGTGTTTATATATATAGGTAGATGTATTCTTCAGATTTATATATCTGCCTCTCTTTTTCTTTCTCTTTCTCTTTCTCTTTCTCTTTCTCTTTCTCTCAATATCTAGAAACTCTATAACTTTAGGGTTTTAACAAAGGAGAAGATATTTTTGAGAGATGAATTTTGAGGAAGACCAGAGAAGTTTTATGGTGAAAGACCCCTTTAGAATATTATTTCTTGTATAATACATTAATGTATGCACTATTCATTAATAGTATTGCTTATAACTATTATAGGAGTTCAACTAAAACCAGCATCCAATTTTTTTTCTTACACTATACCAACGTATTCTGTCGGATTTAAATCTCGGTGAATATACGGCGATAACATTAATAGTATAGAAAATCATCCACAAAAAGTTATCTGCAAGGTGCACGATTGACGTAATTATATGCAACGGAGTCTGCACATGACAGTTTATGCAACGGAGTCTGCACATGACAGTTTTTGTATATACATACATGACTATTTACAGTGTACTTAAATACATGCTTTTATATATACTGTAAATATTCACACATTGACACATATATTCTTGTATATGCATAATTTTTAACATTTGTTATACGCATTGAAGAATTAATTAACGTCTAATTTGTCAGCAGAAAGTAATAAGTATATACTTGATAAACTCTAATAAACTTTTAAAATTCAAGATAAACTCTAATAAACTTTTAAAATTCAAAATTATATACAAATTTTTTGAATATTGTGTCATTAAATCTCTTTTAATATAGTATTAACTGTACTCCGGTCCCTTCCGTTTCCTTTTCTATTACGTTTTTATTGGTTAAAAGCTCAACATTAGAAATTACACAAATGATACATTTTTTTTTTTTTTTAAATCTGCAAACATCATTTAGTAGCCAGCTAAAACCAATTGTGTAAGGGTAATATATTGTGAGTGACAATTAATTTGCAGAATACGAAAGATTTAAAAACAAATTTAAAAGAATATATGCATTTCTATAAGAATCTACAAACATAAAATAAAACAAAATAAAATGGGCGGTGTCAACTTCGTGAAGTAAGACAAAACCTAAGATTCCAACCGAAAAAATCCAACCCTCTAGGCAAATTAATTATGACTCACAATGAAATTACTTATCTATGGGTCTGACTGGTGAGAGAGAAGAGGAAAAGAAATGAGAAGAATTCTTCTTTCTACTAATACGTAGAAGAAAAGTTTCTACTCATAAAATAAAAATTCATTTGATAACAAAAAAACTTTTCTTCCAACGTGGTAGGACCACGTGATATATTTTTCTTTTATGTAGCACACCAGTCACAGCCTATAAACTTTTTGTAAAAGCAGATTTTAACTCTTTCTTTCTCTCTCACTCAAGCTTCTCTCTCTAAACCCCACTAGGATTATGGGAACTCACGTCCTCGTTTAATGCGATTCATGACTCCACAAAGCCCAGCATTCCCACACTCTGCAAATCACATCTTCGCCTTAATTACCATTTGACCATTCTACGTAAAGTCTTTCTCTCCCTCTCTCTACATCTTCTCTGCTTTACCATGAGTCTAAATGGTAACATCAAAAAAACATTCAGCTGGATTCAGCCCGATTCAGCAATTCCGTAGTCACCATTTGCATAAAACTAAATTCAGCTGAATTCAGCCAGATTCAACAGTTTTTTTCAATACCAACAGATATGTAGATACACTCATTTCTGGTAAAAATTTGGATAATAACGTGTACACACATCGAATTAATATATTTTA